GTAATAACTAGGAAATGTGAAAGAGCTAGAATCTCTTGCACACATCCATCACAAACCAGGTCACTTGAAATTTGCCCTTGGTAGAGAGTTAGAGCTGGTTTCCACTATTTATTAGTCCTATCATTTCAGAAACAGCTGGCACTATGGTTTTCATTTTTATTTCCAAAAGAGAGAACAGTTGCTCCTAGGTAGAAGCAAGAACGCATCACCCCATCTGCCTCTCCTCTCAGCCTTGTCTGAAAGGAATATTTGCCATGAATTTGACAGCTAAAAGGACAATGTAGTCATGTCCCTCATGCTGCTTTGAAAATCCATCATCATTTTGCCTATAACCAGGGGAGATGCCTTTGTCTCTCAGCTAGAACACCAGGTCCCCAGGTAATACAAGGAGACATCCATGGCCATGATCATTAATGCACAAAATCCCCCTATGAGAAAAGAGAAAGATTTGTTGACTTCTGCTCCTGCTCTGAGTAAGAACCTCTGGGGCTCAAGGCCTCCAATCTGTACCCTATAGAGTCTATGCTGGGACCTGAAGTATTCATGGTTCCAACTAAGACCTTTCACCAAAACTGCTTAAGTCAGTCATGCAGAGCCCTTACTTGCAAGGGCCCACAGTCCGGCAGAGTAAGCAGATTCACACACAACGAAGTTACCTGGGTGGGGGTTGGGGGAGCTGGCAGGGAGACTTGTCCTTCTGCATCTGTAAGCTGCTCTACTGGGGATGGGACAGAAATGATTTACTATCAGCCTATCCCACTCAGAAGCCCTGGCTCTACAATCTTAGCACCCGGTGGGTCTTTTTTCAAATCAATAGGAAATTCTTTCCTATCATGGTGGTCCCTGTGGGAGGCCATGCCTTTATTCTAACAAACCGCAGCATGTTTCTGGCTCCTCTTGGGAAATTGCTGTTCAAACCTACAACATGGTGGTTGGGATTCATTTCTCAACTGAGCCAAGACTTTAGTGAACAGCAAGGGCAAGGAGGACTCTGAAGCAGGAAGAAGCATTTTATCAAAAGGCTCATAGACTGCTCTGGAGGCAGGTCCCAGAAGTGACCACGTCCAAAGCATATTGGCTGTACATGGAGGTGAGAGTTGTCTTTGCTTGGGGGTGAGGATCGTATAAGTCTGCAGAGATCCATAATGACTCACCACCCCTCTGGCTATGGATGAAAGCTGTATGTCCATTGCTGGGAAACTCAATTCCTCATTCCTGCCCTTAGATACCAAGATGATTCAAGAAATCCAAGAGCAGCCCCAGGAACACTTTTTAGAGATAGGGGTGAGCTCAGTGAATAGAAGATTCCTACCTTGTTCCAGAAATTGCCCAGAATGTTGGCTTTCTCTGCATCCCCTCTCCTGTCCTCCATGCTGCATGTGGCAGGGACTTGCCCTCCCTCCTGCTGTTATCTCCTTGTCCCTGGCTCATCAAGGCACAGAAGAAAAATTGATCGAAATCCTGGCACCATCACTTACTAGATGTCTGATATCAGGCAAGGAACTTCACCTCTCAGAGCCTTCATCAAGAGAATGGGACAAAGCCTACATCGGAGATAATCAGTGTACATCCCTTGGCACACAGGCAGTCCATAAATATTCATTCTCTTCCTTTCTTACCCTTGGGCTTCCTTGCAACCCAATGGCAAAAGCAGCCAGGAGAATAGGTTCTGTGAGTCTAATTTAGCAGGGTCTTTTTGCCCTGCATCTCCCTCCTCAGATCCTCACTAACACTGTGAACACTGTAAAGCAGTTAGGCCCTTTCCCCACCTGCACCTCCTAGCCCTATGGCTCCCAGCTAATCCTCAGCAAAAGTGCCCAGTTCAGATGGAGCCGTGGATTTGACCTCTCCCAGATGGAAAAGTCTAGAACCTACACATGAGGGCAAAATCCAGTGTTCCTGGCTCTGGGCCCCAGATCTAAGTCTGCTCCCACCTCCTCCAGTTCAGGACAGAGGATCTCTGCAGATCTGCCAGCTCTCCTGGATTTTCTCTAGAATCTCCCAGGATGAATCTTTTAGCATCGGAACATGATCCAACTTTCTTCTCAGATATTGGGGAAGGCATGGGCCTGAATGCTAGGAAATAAATACAATGCCTTTTATTTAGACAGCACTTTGAAGTTTACAAAGCCTTTTCATAGATGTTATTTCACTGGCACTAAATAAAAGCCTGTGGGGCAGGTATTGCCCTCATTTCAGTTAAGATGAATCAAGAGAGGCTGAGAAACTTAGCCAAAGTCATACAACTAGTTAGTGAACTAATACACCAGTTCTTCTGCCTGGCAAAGGAATGTGCCTTCCACTCTGTAATGGACAGCAGTGGTCTTCCTGTCCAAAAACCTGAGGTCTGATGCCCAGTGCAGTGGGGCAGAGCTGGGGTGGGGTCACCATGGCAGAGGGTAAGGGGGTTTGCCCAGTGTTGTCCAAGGACTGGATGCCCTGTTTGCTGTGCTGTGCTGGTGTCAACTACTACCTTGTAGCCCTTGTCATATAAACAATGACACATCTGCTCAGAAAGGAAAAGATAAGAAGAAAGCCAAGTATGACAGCCTGCAGGAGTTGAGAAAGAATAAGAAGGAATTGGAATTTGAACAAAAGCTTTACAAAGAGAAAGAGGAGATGCTGGAGAAGGAAAAGCAACTAAAGATCAACCGGCTGGCCCAGGAGGTACGTGTCCTGCTCGTAGGCCAGGCGAGCATCTCTGGGACAGTTTGGTTATCCCCTGCATTGTGCTGTCATGGTGCCAGCTGCACTTGAGCCCCCCAGATGGACTTCAAGGATGAGAGCCTCCTCTCTCCCCAGCCTGGAGAACGAGACCATCCCACCTTCCCAATACTGTCTGACACTAACTCCGGGTATGAGTTTGAGGCTAACCTCTCTGCCCAGATTATAGGTCTCAGGCTAGTCATTAATGCACCTGGTTAGAGGTTTGAGTCTATCCCCTCTACTCTATCCCACCAGAGTATGAGTCTAAGGCTGGACCTCTCCCTTTTAGGTGTGGCAATGAGGCTAGTCTCCCTGCTTAGGATCTGAGTCTGAGGCTAAACCCTCTGCCCAATTTGTAGATATGCAATTAGTCTTCCATTCATCCGTCAAAAGTTCTGTTCATCTAATCTCCCTACCCAGGTTTGTGCAGATATTAAGTCTGAGGATATCCCCGATTAATCAGGCTATGAATCTAAGGTTCCTCCCTTCAACATAAGGTATGTCTGAGGCTAGACCTCTTTAATTTAGGAAAGTACCTAAAGCTGTCCCCTGCAGACATGTCCAAAGCAATAGCACAGAGTGAGCAGCTCCTATTTACTAGGTGCAGTTGTCAGCTTAACTCCCTGGATACAGGGGATATTGTTCTTTCTGCTTCTCTTTAATGCTTCCATGAATCAGAATGCCAAGCTGATTAGATTATAAAACCAAACAAGTCCTGGGAAATGTGAAGTGCATTAGGTCTGGCATTCAGAACAAATTAGCTAGAAAATTAAAAATAAGATTAAACTTGTGCTTCGGAAGACAAGGCAGCCTGGAGGGGGGAAAGAGTAAAGTTAGATTCTTGGAATGTGCACGGAGGTTACAAAAGGATTGTTCTTGGCACATCAAGAGCCTCAGTGTTCGTGGGGATCCTGAGGTCCAGCTAATCCCATGCAGTACAGAAGCCCCCCTGTGAATTTGCCTGTGGGTGCTGTTAGGTCAACCTGACATCTGAGCACCTTCCTCCCCATTGTCTCCACCTCCTCTGGGACCAGGTAGAACAAGGCTGAGTCTTTTTCCAGATAGGTGACACCTCCACCAGTGTTCTGGGGTTCTTAGAGAAGTGTGTGTCTGCTATTGCTGCCCACGTGATTCACTTGTGCCCTTTGTCTTCTTCTTTTGGCGCCGGTCCTGGGTCCCAGGTGTCTGAGACAGAACGGGAAGACCTTGAGGAATCAGAAAAGATTCAGTATTGGGTGGAAAGGCTGTGTCAGACGCGCCTTGAGCAGATTTCCTCTGCTGATAATGAGATTTCAGAGGTAACAGAGCCCTGCTTTCCACTGAGTCCTCTTGTTGCCTTCAGCAAGATCTACCCTGGGGACAGCGGGAGGTGTGATGGCCCCTGGCAAGTGTCACCAGCCACATTGGTACCTTTCCACTGCCCAGTGCCCACCCCTACCAGCCCACTTCTCCTTCTTCTCTTGGGACATGTCTGTATTTCTGCTTGTCTCCAGAGTGAGCACTAAGTCCCAGTTGGTCTGAGAAGGGCCTAGAAGGCCTGTCATCCTGCAGTAATTACTAGGAGGGCCTCTTATACACTCAAGTGTGTTCCAGTTTAGAGAATAAACTATCTGATCACTTTACTTATCACCCTCAGATGGCAAAACTTGGGCCTCTCATGCATGGGCACTCCCAACCAGCCAATAGGCTCAGTAGGCAGCCAGGTGGCAGAGAAGTGGCACCCCTTGGTTCTGGTTGGAGGGTGGGGGATCCCTAATAGCAAGAGAAACACATTAGGAGAGCATTGTACTCAGCATATTGTGAAGTGGAGCACAGTGAATGTGGACAATTATAGAACCTTCTTGCAACCCCCAGATGACCACAGGGCCCCCGCCTCCCCCGCCTTCTGTGTCTCCCCTGGCCCCACCTCTGAGACGCTTCGCAGGTGGACTGCACCTCCACACCACTGACCTGGATGACATCCCCTTGGACATGTTCTATTATCCCCCCAAGACCCCCTCTGCCTTGCCTGTGATGCCCCACCCTCCACCCTCTAACCCACCTTCAAAGGTCCCTGCACCCCCTGTGCTTCCCTCATCGGGCCATGTGAGTGCCTCGTCCTCACCCTGGGCACAGTGCACTCCACCTGCCATTCCCATCCCTCCCCCTCCATCCATTCCCACCCAAGACCTCACTCCTACCCGCCCACTGCCCTCGGCCCTGGAAGAGGCATTGGGCAACCATCCCTTCCGCATTGGGGACACCAGCACTCCAGTGGAGGACTGGGAGGCAAAGAATCACAGTGGAAAGCCTGCCAACTCCCCTGCCCCTGAACGGGGCTTCCCACCCACCCCAAAGGTACAGCCCCTGTTCTGCATGCTATGCTTGGAAACAGATAGAGTGGGGAGGGCTGCTGTTTCCCACACTCTTCACGGCTCCTGTGAGTAGAGACAGGACAAAACATCATCTCCTCCTACTTTCCAGAAATGACCCCCAAGCTGTGTGTGGACATCCTGCATGAGTATGGTTTCTGCTGATTTTGAGGTGCTCAATTGCATGGTGGATTGCTGGGGCTCTTGGAATGTGCAGCAATATATTCATTTAATGTTAACTGCTCTCTCTGAACTCTTGGCTAGTGTTGGCCAGTAACTTGCAGTGAAAAGATATGTTAATGAATAGCTAGCTCTGTGCCACGTCTGGTCATTGCTTGACCTTATCCCAGAAAGCCTTGAAATGACTCCCTGGAAGAAGGGGAGGTGGGCGGGGGCGGGGGTATCAGAGAGAGAGAAGTATTAGGCTTTGGAAATGAAGAGATGGCACAACCCAGTGCAGTATTAGGATATTACAGTTCCATTTTCCATGGTACTAGCCAACTGCACTGGCTCAGAGTGTAAACTCAGAGATGTCTGGACAACATCCAGCTAAAGGAAAAATGAAGATGAGAGAGTTCCTAGAAATCTCCAAATTTACTATTAAAAGAACAGGGATGTTTTTCTTGGACATCAGGAGATTGAACAGTGATCTTTTCAGAAAGATATGTTTCATATTAATTGTTCTTTATCCAAAGATTATTTTGGAAGAGGCAATCCCTGAGGAAGACACAGAGCTTTGATCCCTTGCTTCTGTCACCATGGGATGGCTCGAGTCTAGCTAAGGCAGTGGGGATCAGCTAGGGAGGGGACAGCCTCAGCAGCAACTCGCCAGTGGTTATTATTAAACCTCCCTTTTTGAGTTCCTGCAGAGGAACAGAATAAGCAGCGCAGAGCATTCAAGAGAGCTTGAAGGAAGGACGGTGGGACTGAAGGAAGTGCCAGATACTGCAAGGCTGCAGCACCCAGAAGGCCTCCCTCCGAACCCCTGGGGGGGTCCTGGGCCCACAGCTCACACAGAAAGGAAGCAGTCTGTCTGTTCCATGGATGTCTTCCCCAGAGCCCAGCCAGGAGCTGTTTTTCAGGGGGCTGAGCTAATCTAGCACATAGGGCCACATCCTTCTGTCTAAATGGCCCACACCAGATGGGCAGAAACTATTCCTCAGAAATTTGATTCTGAAGTCATTGATTGAGCCCCTGCCATGTTCTTCTTGGTCAGAGGGGAAGAAGGACTGTCCCTGACTTGAAAGCCAGGAGATTTCTGTTTGTTTACTGTTTGGCTTCATCATATCCATCAGCACTCTGGTGCTCATGCCCCCTGTCCTTCCCAATCTCCTCCTCCTTACACGCCATCAATGCTACAGCAAGAAGTATGACTGATGACATATCTGCACAGCCATCAACAGGCCTCAGGTAGTGGAAACAAACACTTGCCTCAGCTTAACACATGTGCCTACAATGCCAGCCCCTGCCAGAGTAGGGTTTTCAGAACCAGACCCACTGCCTGACATGCCCACCTTACCACTGAGTCATTTGTTCAGCCAACACATATTTACTGAGCACCTGCTATATGTCACTCTGTGCCAGTCACTATGAACCACCACTGTCAGGGAGCTGCAGTCCCTGTCCAAGACAGTTAGGGAAGACAAACAAGCAGGCAACTAGAACACTCCAGGGTTGAGAGGGGGATGCACAGGCGCTGTGATGAGGTGCAGGGATGAGAGGAAACTATTGAGAGAGGCAAGAAACTATTGAGAGAGGAAGACAGTGGTATAAGAGCCAAGACCTGGGTAGACAAAGCAGGAGAAAAGAGCATATGCAAAGGCCTAGAAGCAGGAGAGCCTGGCATTTGAGGCTAAAAATCAGGCAGAGTAAGAATTCTGGGAAGAAGTGACAAGTGATGATGGAAAGGAAAGCAGAAAAGTCAACAAAGGATCAGTTCAAGTGTTGAAGTTGTTCTGGGCAGGGTTCTGACCTGATCAGATACATCTTGCCCAAGATGTTGAGTGGTTTAGGACAAAGAATCCCCTGGATGCCACTCTTAAGTCCTTAGCCATGGCATCTGGATGCTCTGTGCCTCATGCTGAAGTCCAGAGACTCAACTGTGGCCAGAAGAAATAGCCCTTAAGAGAGGGGAAGCTAGATGGTTCCCCATGACTACCGAGAGAGGGCCTTGAAAGTGTGTCCTCTGAGTGACAGTGGGTGCTGCTGCCCTAAACCAGATTCTGGCTCAAGTGGCTGATTCTTTAACCACCACCACCACCCCCCAGTAGTTTCCGTGGCCTCAGACTACTCTGTGTCCAATGGACTTCTTCACTCTGCTGAAGATCACACTCCAGCACAGTGAATGGACCAGCCTGCTCAGCATGTTCATGGGAGTGGATTTGCATGTGTGCAGAAGTGCTGTGGTCAGCCTTTACCACCTGTGACCTTACATGGATCTCTGTTAAACTAACCCCTGTAGACATTTTGCCCAAGCCCACAGCCTCCACGAGGCCCTGGCGTGTCCACCATCTCCAAACCTGTCATGGTCCACCAGGAGAACAACTTTATCTACAGGCCAGCTGTGAAATCCGAGGTCCTGGTAAGCCCCTCAGGTCCCCTCCAAGATATCTAGAGAAGAGAAAACCAGGGCTGTGTCCCCTGGGTTCTGCTGTCCCGAGGGAATAGTGAGGAGCCACACAAACTAGGATCAGGTGTCATCTTGTAACCCTCACTTCGGCCAGGAGGTGAATCTGCATGGGTGGTCTGCTCAGCAGAATTCCTGTTCCCTGCTTGACCATCCTGCATGTTAATAACTAAGACAGTTGGAGCCCTCCATGTACCATGCTCTGCATGCTCTCATTAGATCCTCACAACAAGTTGGTGAGATGGCTCTGATTGTCATCCCTCTCTAACCCTTGAGCAAACTGAGGCTTAGAGAGGTTCAGTCGGTTGCCCAAAGCAGAGCCTAGATCTACTTACTTCAAATCTTTCAGACTCCAGAGCTGTGCTTTTACCCACCTTGCCAAAACTTGCAAAGATTCTAGTCTCCCTGGTCCCTGCCCCAGGGACAGTATTACATGGCCTGGGATACCCTGAGGTGGGGGACTGGCCAAAGCAGACCCACTCCCTGTCTCCATTTTACTTTTCGCTCCTCACTAGGCCTGGGACGGAGTCTAGGGTGTGGTCCAGGGAAAGTAGGAGGATCTACCCACCCCAGTGCCCAAAGTCTGAGGGAGCTGGGGCTCATGTGCACCCTCCAGAAGTGCCAGCCACCAACTGGGAAAAAAGCCAAGCCAGAATTTTTATTCCCCTTTCAAGGAAACCCTATCCAAATGTCAGGGCAGGACAGCTCAGACACTTATTTTGAGATTTAGCTGTCCCATCAGCTCCCCAAAGAGCAAAGGTCACACTGTTGGGATGGCCTGCTGATGAGTCCATGTTACCGTCTCTGATTAATGATAGGGGTGTTGTCTGCCTGTCTACAACTGAGAAGCTGCTACATTGGGAGACATAAGGTGCACCCCAAAGTCAGACTGTGTCTGGGGAGGAACACTGGCCAGTCAGCCCCAGGCTGGCAGCCCCAGGGCTTGGCACCAGGGGGCAGACGAGACCTATCGGTAACATTTGGTGGGGAATTTTTTTTTTTTTTCCTGGCAGCCACAGGAGATGTTGAAGAGGATGGTGGTTTATCAGACAGCATTCAGACAAGTAAAAAATGACACCTGTCGTGTGCTCTGGTCCTCCCCACCACCCATCCCTCCCACTCTGTGACTTCTTTCTCCCTGGGAGTGCCATTTGGTTATGAGGCAGCCCCAACTGCCATCTGCCAGGGATCCTTGTGTCCCCTTGCCTGCAGTTGAAGTCAAGGAGGCTTTCATCACATCCAGGGATCCAGGGTGTATCAGAGCCTGTGCCCCAGCTGAGAAAGGCCACAGGATCCCTGGGTGCTACCTCATCTGCTGCTGCTTGTTCAAAGAGGAGCAGGACAGAGGAATCCCTCAGAGGGTCACAGAGGCCAGGACAGGCCCTTGCTCCAGCCCTAGATGAGAAGAAAGGGGCTACTTTCCCTGTCTTGTTCCCTCTAGGAAGGTCACACCTTCACCAGACCCTGCCTGATGCCGAATCAGTCACAGGAAGAAATGGCATCTCAGCTCTCCATCTGCCCAGGGTACTCCTGAGCTCAGGGACATGCAAGTCCTTGCTGGGCTCTGAGTGGTGTCAGGCAGACAGCCCCATAACCTTCCCACCTCTTGGGAGTACATACAGAGCCAGCCATTGGATTGGTTCTCCTACCCCCCAATGAAAGAGACCCCAACATAGAAGAGATCTGGCAGGCAGCCCCGGCTTCTCCAGCCTCCCACTCACAAGCTGATTTGATGTCAGGCATGGAGCAAACTGGGGGTGTCTGCAAAAAAAGATGCTCTGAGCCCAGGACCAGGGAATGACAGGCATCAGCTAATGCCCGGAAAGCATGCCGTGCTGAACACAGCTGCTAAGTACATTACCTATATTAACTCACTTAATCTTTACAGCAACCCTGGGAGGTCATGGCTATCACAGTCTTCCTTTTGTAGGTAAGAGGCAGAGGGACTTGCAAATGTGTCCATGATGGCACAACCAGTCTCTGACACTGGATGGGAAAGCAGAAGGTCGAGCTCTGTGGTCTGCTCTTCAATGCTGTGTCGCTCAGCCTCTCAAAGCAATGCCGTGGCAGAAGAGGCCTTGAAGGACAGAAACAGTCCCCCTAGTCTGAGACTCCAAGCTTGGAGCAAACTCTTTTTCCCCTGCCTACTAATTAGGTGACCTTAAGCACGAATGTCTCCTCTCAGGCCTCAGTCTCTCTGTGTGTTTAATGAAGGCTTGAGCTACTTCTTTAAGGGCCTACCAACCACCATGGCTTATGGGCCTCTAAATTCACACTAGACATGCCTTCTGGCCCATCTCTGAGATAGGTTCTCAGGGTCACAGGGAGAGGGGGCCGGTGACCACCACTTCCCAGCTTTCCAGAAGGAACAACCAGAAGTAGGCAGCCCCATCTCAGCGAAAGAGCATGGGTGCAGATCCTGCAGAATGACCCTTCTCATGTGTGGCCTTACTGCATCCCTTCCCTGACTGCCGTCCCAACAAACACAGGCCAACCTGGATGTGGCCTCTGAGCTGAACTAGGTTCAAGACATCTTTGGGGTTGAGCCCAAGAGGTGAAGGCTATGAGGAGAGGTGGTAGGCAGATACCCAGGGATCCATCTGCTGATACTTGGCCCTCATCTTGTCCCTAGAGCTTGGTTGCTGCATGCTGGTGGGGAGTGGGGAGATCCTTGCTCCTCTCTCCCTGCAACCCCCAACAACAACAAAAAAAACTCTGCCCACAGGACCCAGGGGATGTTTGGTGTGATCTAGGGAACTGTGTGCTGAGGGTGGCTCTGCTCCGTCCTGTGGTCTGTGTGGGCACCTGCACAAGGCTCTACTTGGCTCCATTCTTGGCTTTGCTGCCCACTTAGCATCCTGGCCCTTGGGCCTGCGATGCTCCAGGCTCTACTTGCTGTGTGAGGAAGCCGTGTGTTCTGATTCTGCCCCTTTTTTCCCATTGCCTTGTTTCTATTCTTGGGGACAACTGTCCCCACAGCAACCTCATTGAGCCAGGACCTCAGAGCTGTGTGTCTCCCTTCCTCCCCTGGATAAAGGGCCAGCCTGGGGCCTCTCACTTCCTAGATCGGATAAGAACAGTGCCAGGCCCCAGGCCAGCAGTCTCGCTACCTCCACCTTCTTCCCCTTTGCCTCCCTCAGTCACCTTGTGGCTGGCTTCCCTGGTCAGAGCAGCCTCTTGCACAGGACTGGCCCTTCTGTGGGGTTAGTGCACTGGGTGGAGAAGCACCCATCCTCATCCACCAGGACCTGGGTATGCCCTCAAGTGGGGACTTGGAAGGGATGAGGTATGGCCTGAAAGGTCTGAGACCAAAGGTGAGACTCAGCAGGACAGGCACTGCTGCCCAGATGTCCAGACATCACCAGTATCCTGCAGCCACAGATGCCCACCCCCTAGACCATACAGGGACAGGGCGGCACTCCTCCAAATGCTTCCTGCAGCTTCCTGCCTGCCCCCTGAGCACCGGGCTCTGGCTGCCAGTCTCCTCTCTGCACTCCTGTCCTGGTCACTTCTGCCCCTACCCTCTCCCCACCTCTGACCCTTGGATTTGCACCCATTCCCTCTCTTTCTTCTCGGCCCTGAGCCTGTTTCTGCAGTGACCTGCAAGGGCCTCTTTTCGGTTGACTAAAGCTGTACCTTTGCTTCCAGGATTTCCGGAAATATGAGAAAGGCTTTGACCCCTACTCCATGGTAAGGGGTAACCTCCTTCCCTGAGAGAAGCTGAGGGTGTTTGATGATGATGGTTTGGGGCCCTGGGATCCCAAGGATGTGGTGGGGCACATGAGTTGCCCCGGGGATACCCCAGCTGCTCTTTCCTATCAGGGCTCCTTTCTGTATGGGGTGTGTGTGTGCGTGCATAGTGGGGACAGTGACACTTGCTGAGCACTACTGTGCACCAGCCTCTGGTGTAGTTACAAGACCTGCTTTTGCCCAGTCCTCACGATTATCCTGGAAGAATGGATCTAGGACTTGTGTGGCCAAGTGTGTGATGTGTCCATCATCCCTCAAAGGGCCGGGGACCCCCAGTTGAAGACCAATGGGAAAGGTTCCCCTTGCCGTGTACTCTATGGGGCCCAGTGTCCCCCAGGCTTCCTGCTCCCCACACACCCTTCAGCAGAGTCAAAGCTCCCCTATCTTTCCCCCCTAGTTCACCCCAGAGCAGATCCTAGGGAAGGATGTCCGGCTCCTGCGCATCAAGAAGGTATGTGGGCACGTGGAGGAGGTGGGGCAGCTACCATCCTTCTCGGCTCCTGCTCCTGCTCCTGCCCCCTTGGTTCCCTGCTTCTGCTGCTCCCAAGGTGACTCCCAGGTGACCTCTCAAATCCCCACTATTGCTTCCCTCTGTGGTGGTCCCAAGCCCACTTTCTCCCCATGCACTACCATTGGCCCATGCTTTCTCCTGCTCTTGAGGCTCTGTGGAGAGGCTCCTCGGTGCCCAGGTGCCCACAGGCTACTGTCTGCATGGCCCCCTCAGACCTGTTTTCCTCCAACCAGGAGGGATCCTTAGACCTGGCCCTGGAAGGTGGCGTGGACTCCCCCGTCGGGAAGGTGGTTGTCTCGGCTGTGTATGAGGGGGGAGCTGCTGAGCGACATGGTGAGTGGGGACCAGTCACCCAACATTTGGACATGGTGTGATGGTTCTACACAAGGCCCCCAGGAAAGCAGACAGATCCCTGCTTGGGGGCAGGCTGACCGTTCTCGAGAGCACCAAGTCTATCCAGGCAGCCATCTATCCAATCTCAGATGTGTCCCGAGGGCCTGCCATGGTGCCAGTGGGCACACGGCGTAAGCAGGTGCCACCCTGCCTTCTAAGCTAGTGGCAGAAAAACACTCAGAATTTCCGGATGAAATAAGAGTGTTGTCCGCTAAGGGTGGGCAGGGAACTAAGGGTCCGGGAGGTCGTGGGATCCTGAAGGGCCACTACCCATCAGGGGGAGGTGACACTGGGAAGGCTCCCTGGGAGGGCAGTCGTGAACCAAGCCTTGAAAGGTGAATCAAGACCAGTCTGTGAAAGGGAGAGAGAGCTTTCCAGCAGGAGGGAACCGCACCAGGGAAATGGGAGAGAGACCATCCAAACCAAACCTGCCCTTCAGTGACAACAGTCTGTCATGCACTAACCATGCGTTAGTGTAAGTGAGTGAGTGACGGGCACCCAGCCCCGTGTCCCGGTGTTTCACTTGGACTAATCCATTTAATCCTCACGCCACCCCAGCAGGTGCTGTTGTTATTCTCATTTTGCAGCTTAGGAAACTGAGGCACAGAGAGGTCCAAGTACTCCTTCAAGGACAAAGAGCAGGTAAAAGGTGGAGGTAAAAGGACTTGAGTCTAGGCACCTGGCCATTTGGTTTTACTGCCAAAGTGCCACCTCTGCTGCAGGTTTCCACAGCCTCACCTGCCCTGAGAGGGCCAAAGGACCTGTGTCTCGCATGAGGCAGATCTTACTTTGCCTTTGATCTCTTTTCAACAAAAAACACCCTCTGCTGATGAGGGAGGCCTCTGTGGACCCCGGCTCTGATTCTTGCTTCACAGAATCCACTGGAGCAGGGGACTGAAGGGAAAGGCAGTCTGACTGCTGTGTTCACCAAGGCCGGTGGGCACACAGGGAGCCCAGGGCACAATCCAGCCCTGCCATCATGGCCTCAGTGGCCTTGGGTCTCTCCCAGCCACGCTGTGACCCTCACTCAGCTCTGCGCAGGGGCCCCCTCTGCCTTCATTCCTGTACCAGTTGAGGGAGGGATTGCAGCTTGGCCCAGGGAGGCCACCTATCTCTGCATCTGGCAGGGAGAGAGGACCAGGAAGGATAGTGGCTCTTCCTGTCACTCCCAATTTACAAAGCCCTGTTGCCCCTGAGGTGCCGTCTTGGATTTGTACAAAATGAAAACGTGGAAGTCACCTACCTTAGTCCCTCTGTCCGGGGGAAACTGCTGTCTACAGTCTGATCCCATGCTGCTTTGGACATCCAAGCAGCGGGTGGACGTTTCCAAACGCATGCTTGTTTCGAGCTACCGAGGCTGCCATCTCAGTAACACACCGTGTTCCTATGGCCTTCAGGCCCACAAGGCCTCCCTCTGCATGATCTCAGCGTAACACAGAGATAGATGTTCTGTGGACATCAGGACTAGGAGACCTTCCTAAAACACGGAAGTTCAAGAGGTGGGGGAAACCATGTACAGTCTGTCCACTTAGAGAACCACAGTGCACAGGATCCTAGTCAAGGCTCTGACGAGATAATAACTGATAAAAACTGTTTGGATACTAATCGGTTCCTCCCAAAATTAGAAGATCACAAGACGGTTATGCAGGAACATCTTTTCACACCATTCATTTATTCAACAAATATCCAATTGAGTTCCTACTTGTGCAAGATATTCCTTGAAGGGCTGAAGATAAAGTAGTGAACCAAAAAAGATAAGTCCTATCCTCAGGAAGCTGACAGCACAGCGGGAGGGACCATCAGCAAACAGGAAAGAAGCAGATTATGATTACAGATTGTGTGCTGTGCAGGAAAAGACCAGGGTGCCGCGAGAGAACGGCAGGAGGAGCTGCCTTCAATTGGGTGCACTCAGGGAAGCCCCCTTTCAGATCTAGAAGAGAAGAAAGAGAGGGGAATGGAACAGTCCACAACAGTCCTGCTCCAGGCAGGAAACAGCACAAGGCAGGCTGGGGAGGGGGAGGGTCAAGCCAGCCAGCACGGCTGCACATCAGGGAGGCCCAACCCACAGAACCAACTCGTGTCTAATAACCCGGCTGGAAATGCAGGTGTGTCTCCTCTGCAGTAGCTGCCGCCTGTGCAGGAGCCAAGTAGCAGTGTGTCCTCACTGGTGTCCCAGGTCCACTGAGCAGGGTTGAGGCTCAGGGAGGAAATGCCTTTGAGTATCCGAGTAACTAAGTATGCTGCTGACCCTCGCCCTTTCTGAGCCACGCCAGCTCTCAGTTCCCAGGGCCCAGCCTCTTCTGTGGCCCCACAGTGGCTCTCCCTTTGCCCAGTCCTGGCCCAATCCGTGTCACACGTAGCCCAGTTGGCCAATCAGCTTCATCTTCCTGCAGGTGGCATTGTGAAAGGAGATGAGATCATGGCGATCAATGGCAAGATCGTGACCGACTACACCCTGGCTGAGGCAGAGGCCACCCTGCAGAAGGCCTGGAATCAGGGCGGGGTAAGAATGAGCCCTCTCCCTGCTCCCTCACCTGCCTGCCTCTGACCTGGCCTCTGAAGCCAGGCCTTACAGTTGGGGAGCCCCATCCCAGGACCAGTTCCAAGGTCCACAGCCCTGTCCAGCCAATGGGCTCAATCTGACAGGAGAGGACTCAGGAAAGTAAATATCAATTCCTGACCTTGAGTCCAAAAAGCTAATGGAACAAACACAGATTCTGGAACTCTGGACATGGCTGTGTAACCAAGGAAAAGACTTAAGGTCTTCACTGAGTGTACACTGAATAGGAATCAAAAGAGTTGGGAGTTCGAGAAATCAAAAGAAAGCATTAATAGTAAATGGTCCAGGATGAAGAGAGGCTGGTGGTCGTCTGCATTACACACTCACCTGGATCAGGGCCACCACATGAGATCTCTCACAGGCTGTGCTATGCACAATCTGAGGGGGACACCCTCCTACAGACCATAGTATGAATGGTGCCCACTCATGTTGTGCAATGCACAACCTGTGCAACTGTATGCAGGCAGCCGAGCCTGAGGTATTAAGTTCAGTGCCGAGGAAGCTGACCAGATGGGCCTGGGACTCACATGAAGGAATGTGGAGAAGAGAAGACTCACGGGTAACATGATGACTGACTGATTTTCTGAAGGGCTGTATTAGGGAAGAGAAAGAGTAGAACTATTGCTGTGATTCTTGAGGGATTGGAGGGAGGTCCTGGGGAGGTAAAGGTCCCAGATCAATCTAGGAGCCATGACAATTTCCAGAACTCTTCAATGGATGTACCCAAGCCCAGGACAGACACTGATGGGCACCCCAAGGATGGCAGTGATATGCTTGAGGGGACTCAGATTGAGAACTCAAAGGCCAGGCCCGACGTCCCCCAGTTGTCTGTGCCTCTGATTTGTCTGGGGAGCTTGTTAGAAATGCTTTCCCAGGCCCACCGCAGACCACCAGCAGGCAAGCCCATGAGTCTACACACTTTAAAAATTCCCTCAAGTGATTCTGAGGTTGCTGCCTGGCCCTGGTCCACAGGTCGGCACTTGGGGACACAGTGTCATTTGAAGGTCCTGCACACCCTATGATTGGGAACCTAAAAGCCTGGAAATTTCTCCAGAGCATGGGACGCCACGGTGGAGCCAAACCCCACTGGAGGACCTCCAGCCCTACCCGCCCCCACTTCCCCCTGGGAAGAGGCCTGGTTGGCTGATCCTGGCTCAGGAGTGGGAAGGAGCATGGGGCAGATGTGCCACCCACCCCTGAGCATGCCCACAGCTGCCCGGCTTCTCCCCACAGGACTGGATCGACCTCGTTGTTGCCGTCTGTCCCCCCAAGGAATACGACGATGAGCTGTAAGTGTGCGCTGGCCCCTGGCCCCTGCCTGCTCCTCCTCCTCCTCCTCCTCCTCTACAATCTGGGACACCTTCTTCAGCCAGAAAGAACACCAGACACACATCTGCCACCAGGCAGAAAGCCCAGGGCTAGAGGATCCCTGGAAGGAAGTCGCTGTCCGCAGGTGGCATCAGAGCTGCCTCCCGGGCTATCTGGTCCAAATTCCTTACCTATAGGCCCATGGTCTCAGATCAAGTAAAAGTACACAGTGAAATCAGGACTAGCCCTCAGGATTTTTAATTCCCCACTCAGAACTTGATCCCCCATTCCCTTATCAGATAAAGATTCCCTTCACTCTCTGGAAGGTCTTTCTGATGTCTAACCCTATTCACAAATGCTGCATCTCCAGACAGCAAAGACCACAGGCTCTTGTCTCTATCCTGAGGGCTCTCCAAGGAGCTTTGGCCCAGTGAGTCCCTCCGTCTGTCTATATCTGGCTGGGCCTTTCTCTGTCCTTCCTGTCTCTCCTTCTTCCCCATCTTCTTGTCAGTCTCCCTTCCCACCTGTCTCCTTCCCATCACCCCTCTCACCTCTCTCTCTTGCCCTCTCCTTTGCTTGCTCCCTGCTTCTCTATCCCTGCCTCTGCATGCATTTTTTACCTCTCTGCCTCCGTGGCCTCTCACCTGTGTCCTCACCACATCACATCACCTCCCTCCCCGTCACTAACGCACCCTGCCTTGCCTGTCGTGGGCGTGCCTGCTGCCTGCCTCTGCTCAGCAGAGCCTGAACCCCCCCTTGTGTCTTGGAGAAACCAGGATCTGGCTGCTCTTAACTCTGGAGCTCAGGGCTTAGACAGGACCAAGGTGGAGGGCGAGGTCTGGCAGAGCTCTGCCCAGGAGTAACCAAGCCCTTTTTCTTTCCTGCTCTGCTCTGCACCTGTAGCTCTTCTCTTCCCTCCTCTGCAGCAGAAAGCCCCCAGCCAGTCCGAAAGCTCCTTGAAGACCATACTCCCGTGTACAGACACGGGTTCCTCCTGCAGCTGGAGCCCACGGTGAATAGGTGGCCTCAGGGCCCCATCTGTCCATGCTGCGTGCAGTGGCCATGTGCTGCCCACGTTGCTGGCAGGTTCTTTGGACTGGCATCTGGAGGGGACATGAGGCACACTGCCCCTGAAGTGCCTCCGGGGTCTGCTGTCCGTCACTCTGAAACTCTGTGGAACTCAAGACCCTCCCACTCAAGGGAGTGTGCAAAACCTAGTCTGGAGCACTGGGTGGGACCTGGGTGTCCTGATGCACACAGTCCTTGGGACCTGACCCATGCAGCACCCAAATGAACAGGGTGGAGCATTGAACATGGCTCCCTGCTGGCACAGATGGCGCCTGGAGCCAGGTGTGCTGTGCTGGGAGAGAGCCCACGAAGTCCAGTCTGAATTTCCTCCCAGAGGTGTCCTCACCAAACGTTTCTCCTTTTCCTGGGAATGCAGCCCTGTTGGGACCCCTGCTTCACCCAGGGAGGGAGTGGATTCCCTGCTCGGGCAGAGCCAGGGCTGTTGAGAGGTCTTTAAGGCTCGTCCAAAGAACCAGGGTTGGTGGATTAGAGTTGCTCGTGTCCTGTTGTGCCCTACAATGGCCTGAGTCCTGCTCAGACCAACTGTCCTTTGCCATCTCCCTCCTTTGATGCAGGCTCTAACTGTGGAACACAAGGTAGATCCCAGCCTTGGAATGTGTTTCCCACCCTGGGCCAGGTGGCTGTGAAGCTGGTGTTGGAGGTGACCCGAACCCAGAGCTAGCAGCGTCTGGGGCCAAGCCAAGCCTGGACTAGTTGATTTTTCTGTTACAAATTTCCAAAAACATTAGGGCCTCATGTTCCCAAGACAGCTGGCCTGCTGTACAGTGACATCTAGGGGTACCTAAGTGACCTGTATTTTCTGTCACTTACTCTTAGCAAGAGACCCTCCTCTCTTCCTCTTGGTCCTTCCCCCACCCCTGTCCCTGGTGTCTCTGCTATTTTATTCCTGGCCTCCTGTGTGCTGTGACTTTGGCTGGTGTGTAACTGCCTGGAGTTGCACCAAGAGGGGCCTCTAGGGATTGGCAAGGCCTCGTGCTGCCAGGGTGGGGCTTTGCCCTTGGCTGAGTGCCACTCACAAGACCTGCACCTTCCTGGTTTGTTTCCTCTTCCTCCACAGGACTTTCTTCTGAAGTCCAGAGAGAGAAAACAAATTCATCCCTAGAAGACAGTGAGCGCTGGACTCAACCCCTGAACATAAAGCCGGCAACCAGTCTTGAGAGACCTGCGGCATGTACCGGAAGACATTCCCAAACTTGTCACCAGTACCCAGGAACTCCAAATCCCTTTGACCTGGAACTAGGCTTGGCCAAGGAACACTCCTAAAAGCCAACATGGAGGGGAGGGAGTATTCAGGAGGAGGCCTCAGGGCCCTCTTTTCTGCCCCCACCTTGGAACGTTTAGTCTCTCCCAGCTCTGGGGGTGCCTCCCTCGAGCCCTAATCAGACCCGATTCCTCAGTCTCTTCTCTCCACCATCCCTCTCTTCTCTCTTCTGCTGTAATTGCTTCTAGGATTGTTACTGCAAACCTTACTCTGAGCTCATTAATAAAATAAACAGACTTCTTTTCCGGCTTATGTGAGTGAATATGGATTTAGGCAGCAGATTGAAGGCTGTCAAATAAAATGCCAAGGTTTGGACCCTTACCCAAGAGTGAGAGTCAGATCCAATGCTCTGTATTGGGTCCACCAACATGAAAGAAGTGACCCAGCGGCCAGGCCTCTTGGTAACAAGGACCAGGATCCTCACTCTAGAGACAAGTGGGTGGTAAAAGTCTAGTCATCTCAGGGAAATCCGAGGCCCGGAGATATGATGTCCCTAAGAATTAGAAATGGAAAGTGGTTCTGGTGTAAGGTGTCCTGGAAGGCCAGCTCTCTCAGACCCTCGGTGGCTTCCGCATGCCTCTCAACTTCTCAGCCAGCCTTCCATCTCTGCCTCCGATTCTGGCCTGGCACACATAGTAGGTGCCAGCAAATATGGCTCCCTCCTTGTATCCTGGCAATTCCTAGGCCAAGTTGAGATACCTGTCCCAGGTCACACAGTGAAGAGGAAGTAGAGCTGAGATGCCAGTTCAGTTATTCTGGCTCCACCGTATAGAGCAGGGTGACCTCTCACTTCCTGAGATCTCAGCTTGAACACAGCCATCATCTTCCTGACTCTAGAGAACTTTCCAGCCACAGCTCCACTACCACCTGGCACCAGTTCACCTGAGAGGCAGTGCTTGGTTCAGGGACAATTCCAGGCCCAATCAGCTGTGGTCATGGACAGCAGCCAGGTGGAGGAATTCCCTCTGTTTTCTCTGGGAGAGATTAAATGTTCCAAGGTGGGGGCAGAAAAGAGAGCACAGACTTAATTATCTCCTCAATGGAGGCCAAGTCCTGGTGACCTCCTAATAACTGGCTCCCAGAGACAGCAGCCATGTGGAGGAATTCCCTCTGTTTTCTTCTCTAGCACCTGGCTTGGCCCTGGAGGTGATTCCTAAGCCAAGATACGAGGAGGGAGCCATATTTGCTGGCACCTTCTATGTGCTAGGCCGGACTCTTGTGTCTGCCATCTCCAACTGCAATGACTGGGAGTAGTGCACAGCCTTCCTAGGATCCCCATGATGAGAGCCAACACCCTGAGAGCCTTGGCCATGTGCAAGGTACTGGTCTAAGCACTGAGCTCAGTTACTACCCTCAGTAATCTTGAGGTCGTCGCCATTAATATCATCAACTCGATTTTATTAAGAGAAGATTGATGTATAAAGAGGTTTAGGGACTTGTCCTAGGTCACATGGTGAAGAGGAAGTGGCACTGAGATTCCAGTCCAGTTATTCTGGCTCCACCATATAGAGCAGGGCGAGCCTCCTCAAATGCCTCAAATTCCAGACTGTTGGCCGAACAATGCTCCCCACAAATGAAGGACAATTAATATTCTGCTGTTCCTCTTGTGACCTACAAATACTGCTGCTAGTCCTTCCCCCTGAGACGCCTGGAATCTTACACGTACCAGCTGTTCTTACTTTTTGACACCCCCGAGTGAATGAGTTCTTCTGTGCTTATCAGGACTTGATAAAGAAGAGGGCTTTGAGCCCCTGGTTAAAGAAGGGCAGGAAAGGTATGTTGCTGGATAGAGCAGGAAGGGAGACTGATAGGAGAAGAGGGACATGGATGACGTTAAGTCCTGAGTCATAAGATCCTCTAGGGTTGGCAGGGTGTGTGGGCTACAATGGGCCTCATCATCGTCATCAAAGAAATCAACTCCCTTTAAAAAGTTGGCCCATATTGAGCCCAAAGCAGCCCTCCCCAGCAGACTAATTGACATTAATCAAGGTTAAGAAGTGGAAAGATCCAGAGAATGTGTATAAAGTGGGGACCTAAAGCAGTTCCTTATTCTGCTTTGGAGGCCACAACAAACAGGGCTGAGGCCAGAGTCCACAGAGGGACTGGGTCCGACCTAGGGATCCGCTTCAGTGACCAAGACTGAGCATGAAGGACTAAAACCTGTTCAGGCCAAGGACTGTCCAGGTGCCGTTGGTTTCCCCCTGTGCAGGGCAGGATCTCTGCTTCCATCCCAGCACTCTAACCAGCCACCAGGCAGTGGCTAGCAACACATCGAAACTGGCCTGCAGGATGACCCTAGGTTGCCACCCTAGAATCTAACCCCCATCATCTAGTTATTTGGGAAAACCACGTCCAAGGAGGGGTGCTTCGTCAGGTCCCCAAGGTTGGTGGGAGAGCTGCCCTTTCTACTACACCACACAGTGGAAACACAGACCTAAGAGGCTAGGAATTCGAGAATGCCCTTTGACTCTGAACTTTTGGCATTCTGTCCATCTCATTGAAGCTGCTTCCCACGCCAGTCCCCAGGGTTTGCAGAGCCGACTTCGAGCCTCTCACCTCTCTCTGGCAGCCGGGTGAAAGGGCTGAGTGTATGGCCTCTGCTTTTGAGATGCTCCCTTTGGGCCTGTGTGGGCTGGGAAGCTTGTTCCCACCCGGTTCCAGCCCATTTCTCAAGTCTCAGATTTGGATAAGAATCTGTTTCCAGAGATGAGAACCCTGTTCTCTCCTGTCCCTGTAGTGACACTTCCTGATCCCTGGGGCCCAGGCTGGCTGTAATTCTGTGAGAACCAGAAGGGACAGACTCGGGCCACTGGGGGAGGCAGGTGGAGCTGCCTGATGCAGGGATTGGGCAGAGGCAAGAGTCGTCCTCCTGAGGTCTGGGGTTTGCAGTCCTGGAGTTCACACCAGTCTTGGTAAGAATAAGACTGCTGTGAACCACAGGTGCTTCTGAGACTTACTGAGATCCAACTTCACATTGGTGTGAAAGTGATATGTGTCCAGTGGAAACCAAAAACTTTGAATTTTGGTCCTTTCCCACGTGCTAGCAATGCATGTGGTACAGTACTCTCCAGTGATGCTGGGAGGCAGCAGCGAGCCACAGCCTCAAGATTCCAAGAGGATATGACCCATTCTCTACCAAGCACTGGGTTGCTAGGTTATGAGGTTCAGTACATTAGGTGTCTTAAGTGCATTTTTTGGCTTACAATATTTTCAACTTTTGATGGTGATATAGTCGGGATCTGGAACGCCCCCAAAGGCCTGAATATAAAAATTTAGTCCCCAGATTGGTGCTATTGGGAGATGGTGAAATCTTTAAGAAGTGGGACCTAATGAGAGCTTTTAGGTCTTTAGAGGATTATAGGTTTCTTCCTCTCTTTTTGGCTTTGTCTTTGAGGGTGACAGCTTCCTTCACAATACATTCCTGCTTTAATATGCTGCCTCACACAGGCCCCAAAGCAGTAGGTCCACCTGATCATGAATAGAGACTCCCAAACTGAGCCCAAATAAATTAAATTACTTTTTAAAATTACTTAGCTCAGATATTTTATTCCAGTAACAGAAGGCTGACTAACATAGAGGGGTTTATCAGGATGTAACCCCATTGTAAGTTGAGGTGCATCTGAACCAGTTGTTTGCTATATGTCAAGCACTGTGCTAAGCTTGAATGTGTAATGACTCATTTAATCCTTACAATGAACTAGGAGGGAGGCTATGCTGTTGTCTTCACTGAGAAAACTGAGGCACCAAGGTTTTCAGTAACATGCCTGAGGTTAAATAGTAAGAGGCAGAGCCAGGATTGACCCCAGGCAAGGTAGCACCAGGAGTCCATATCATCAACCACTGTACTATTATGCTTTGAGTAGATGAGAAATGACATACAAAATCTGGTTTCAAGAGCATCAGGAAAAAATTCTATCCAGCAAATAATTCCTCCCTGCTTCTATTTTCTCTCAGCTTCATTGTGTCTTCCACACTGTGGAGTGGGCCAGCTAAGGCTGAATGGGGTCACCTTTCTCCTGCTTGAAACTCTTTGAATAGCTCCCCCACTAACCTCAGAACAAAGTCTAAACTTTTCTGTGGCATTCAGAGTCCTTCATCACCTGGCCCCTGACAACTTCTCCTGCTCTGTCTCTTGCCAATCGCCTCCCTTTGCTTTGACCATATTAAACTCTTCAGTTTCCTGTGCATCTCAAACTCCATCATTTATCTGTGTCTTTGCACATACATGATCACTCTGCCAGGGGGCTTTGAATGCTCTTCAAGCTGACATGAACGTCCTGTGCATCCTTCAAGGCCCAAGCAGTTATAAAAGGAGAATACTGGGCCTGGCATGGACTGAGCACTGAGTGTGAGCTCACTGCTTCTTCCTGAGAGGGTCTCTTTGGGTTGCAAGAAACTGAAACCCAACTGAAGAGGATGATCTGAGTAAAAATCCAGTAGTATTTGATATCAGTTTTGGCTGAATCCAGAGGCTAAAAACAGACATCAGGACCTGATCTTATCATCTGTATTAGTCAAGGTTTGCCACAGAAATAGAAATACACACACACACAATATATGTACATATATATATATTTAGAGAGAGATAATTTTTTTTAAGGATTTGGCTCACACAATCATGGGCACTAGCAAGTTCAAAATCTGCAAGGCAGGCCAGCAGGCTGGGGAACCAAGAAAGAGTTGATATTTCAACTCAAGTCCAAAGACAGTCTACTGGCAGAATGCCCCCTTCCCTGGGGGATATCAATCTTTTTTCTATTAAGGCTTTCAACTAATTGGATGAAG